AGCTCAAAATGACCTAGTGCATGTAGAGAGAGAGCAGCTACTACAACTACAATGTTGCAGACGTCACTAAGCTCGTATTCAAAGCCCTCGCCATGCACTTAGGACCACTGTACGAAGGAGGGCACCGTCAACGCCCTCTAGAGAAAGACATGCTGGCCGTACGCCTGTCATCGTGTTCTTGGTAAACGAGTGCTATATGCTCGCGTTGCGGCAAAAGAAGAACTTGAGATCGAGAACCATGCCCGGACTTTCAGCCATATCGGCGAAGTAGACATGAGATGGTGTCTAAGCTTCCAGTAACGTCTCCTTCAGGTGAAGAAATGATACTGATGACACCCTTTTGCAGGGGTCGTGGTCGCCGATGTCTTTCAGTCCCTTGGAGTTAAATAAGCTTATTGCTGCATGATGATCGGCTAAATTGGGAAACGGGGGTTGCAACGGCAACTTACTTCTTTCAGGTCGTAATCTGGGGCGCCGCAAGTAGGTCATAAACGAGTAATCAAACATACACTCCAGATTTTCAAACATACACTCCCGACCTAAGCCCCATTTGGAAGAAGACCCCGCCACCAAAATTTGGCGCGCGCTTTCCCAACGCCGCTGCCGCGGCTGCCTGCCTAGATATATTGTCGCATATCACGCCCGTGTCAGTTCCTGAAACCTTATGCTCGATCACTGCCACTGCTGCGCCAGGCTTCGCCGCAATGATCGGGGTATATATTGTTGCACGAATGTGTGCATCCAATTCTTTTCCTTTCCTTTGTTCTTTAGATAATTCTCATCAATTGACTGATGCCACAAAGATCAACCGCTGTCACGTGCGAGGTGTGGGACACTATTGTCTGACATATATGGATTCTATCTGCAATTATTACCAACGCCGGAAGATGCATCCCTTAGAGTCATTCAATTGAAGCTATCAATAAGCCCGGCCCGATCGATCTTCCGATATATATACAATATGCATATAATGGCGGAAGGTCTTTGCCTACCTCTGTGACTGTGACTGTGACTGTGAGGAAGGATCCGTCCGACGCGGCGGAGGGCGAGGCACGTAAGGAACGAATTTGTGACCGGCCTGCCTGCTAGTTTTGTATGGTGCCGTGTCCCTCTGATCCCCTAGCTGCTGGAAATGCTCCGTAGCCGTCTCGTGAGACTGTGCCGGCGGCTGTGCCCACATGAAGCCGTCGTGATGTGCCTGTGACGAGGGAGGCGGTTCTTGCCACTGTGACGGCGCCGGCGCCTGTACGTATACAGGCACAATTGGTGTAGGCGGTGGCATCACATAGTATCCCTGTGACGGCGGCGCCGGCTGTGGAAGTGAGGGCATCGTCGTTTGGTATCCCTGTGACACCAGCGGCACCTGTGGAAGTGAGGGCACCTGTGATAACAGCACCGGCGTTGCTGCTGCTTGTGACTTGATGAAATCACCGATCTGCTGGGCAAGATCGTCAACCCGGCTGCTCACGGAAGCAAGTGTATTCGACCTCTTGTTCATGATAGTGGTGCCTGTGCCCTTCCTCTTCTTCTTTGCGTCTCTGGTGGCCGTGATACGAGCTCTGGGTTGGCTCTATGCTCCTCTTGCTCCCAAGCACTAAGGATCCGGCCCGTAGATGCCTCTAGTGGAGGATACCTCGCGTCTACTGTTTCCACGCCGGCGAGGCTGGACAACGTCAGGATCGGCTTCGTGGTCTGCATCGATATATTGCTGTTGTTCAGGCTGCTAGTAAATTAGTATAGTACTTATGGCTGGAGCAAGATACTTACAGTCACGCCGTAAACCCGCCAGTGGTTATCAATAAGATGCAATGGTATAAGGGCGGCCGCGTCAGCCTGGATCAAATCGCGGATTGTATGCCGGCAGGGCAGCCCCCATTGCATCGTGAAAGCACCCGTACAAATCGTAGGCATGCCTCGATTATCGGCAAGCTCAGCCCGGCTAGCCTAACTTGCCTGAAGATCTGTTTCATCGGCTGCCAGCCAATTTTTCGGTGCAGTGACTTCATAATCGTCTGCTTGGCCCATTCAACTCTAGCTCTTGCAAACTCGGATTGAAGCTTCTCGCGATGCTTCTTTTGCCGATGGGTAACGAGCCCTCTGATGTGCTCTTGTAGCTGATGGAGGTCAATGAAGCGGTTGCGTAATCGTGACTTCAACTCGTGATGTGCTCTCCACACGGGAAGTTACCGTAATGTTATAATTTCGGTACTGTTGGATAGCGTAGGTGGAAAACTGGGCACGCCATGGCCAGTAGGTTGTACGGAGGTAATTAACGAGAGCTATAAGAGGAGCTATTTAGTAAAAGGTTAGAGTAGGAGGGTAGTTAGGGCTAGGTTACCTGGCTGATCCGAAGACTCTATACAGAGTAGATCCCACTGATCTCTGCACTCCTCAGCCGTGCGAGCCCTAAAGACTGAAACCCAGGCATCACGGATACCGTCAGCTGTGTGCTCAAAAGTCCGCCTTGGAGCCGGGGTAGTATTGGGTTTCCATCGTCATCTTCACGATCATCTTGTTGCTCAACGCACTGATCTGCCAGTTGTGAGGCATGTTGAATCTGGTAATCAGTGGCACGGTCGATAGGTCGGTCCTCGTCAATGGCATTATCTGCCTGTATAGGGTCGTCGAGAGCGGCTGCTGCAGCGAGGCGAGTCTCCTGTTCTGGCCTATCTCCGCCAATCTCGGTGCCATCGAGGGATCCTTCCCACTTCTTCTTGATGTGAAGGATCACGTTCTTCATCATATGCCAAACGCACACTTGTTGTTGCGTTGATGGGAAGATAGAGTCAAGGGCGTTCTTCAGGGCGGTATCAAAGTCGGTAATCACAACGCCCGGGTCCGGAATATCAGCCTGCCGACCAGCCTCACGCAACTGTGAGAGGATCCATTGGAACGCGCCTTCGTCTTCCTTGGCAGTGAGGCCAAAGCCTACACTGAAGCTCTTGTGTAGCCCTGTTGTGCCAATGATCTGTAGAAGCGGCATGTTAAAGCGGTTGACCTTATACGTATTATCCATGATAAGGAGCTCGGGGTTACGCTTCCAGTCAGCAATACAGTCATCGTATGTCCAGAAAACCTCCAAACCTTCCCATTAGGGCCACGGTCAACTGCATAGTAGCTGATTTCCCTTTGCTTTAGCATCTTTGAGTACATCGAGGAAGGCTTGTGTAGATGTAGAGGCGCCGTAACGGAAGGCACGAAGTTGCAGCTGGATGAAGTGTATATCAGAATCGGTAATAAGGAGCTCAGGATATTCCTGTCGGATAGCATCCACGATATCCCTGCTCTTGTTATTGACGTTCTTGCTAAGCCCTCGACGAGGCTATGAAGACGCTCGATGCCGAATTTGCGTTGGCTTCGTTGACGGACGATGGGGTTAGCAATTGGCTCAAATAGAGGTTCGTGGTTATGAGAGCCGTGCTTGATGGTGACTTTGAATGCATTGCAACGTCGGTAGAAGCGGATGTAACAGCGAAAGTCACATCCCGACTTCTTGGATGACGTCTTGTATATACCCTCTGCCTCGTCCCAGGGTTTATACTGACCACTGTATTCACAGCGGATATTGGCTTCCTTGCGCCTAGGCTTGCCGGTATTCTTGCTATTTGCAACGACTACGACGTAGCCAAGGAGCTCTTGCGTAGCTTTGAGTGTTTCAAGCGCCTCATCATACGTATCGAAAGACATCTCCGTGATAGCCTCGGTGCTACTGTTGGTATTGCTTTCGGTCGAATTCATCGGGACGATTGACTAGACGTGACTATTGCGGTAGGCGGCGGCGGCGTTGCTGTTGTGTTGAGTCAAGTGGTGATAGCTTCAATTGTTGATGATTGCGAAAATGCAGATGGCGGCCAAAAAGGCAGGTGGCTGGGCGGGTGGGCGGCGGCGATGGTCACGGCAAGCCAGGGCGTTGGGAAAGCGCGCGCCAAATTTTGGTGGCGGGGTCTTCTTCCAAATGGGGCTTAGGTCGGGAGTGTATGTTTGAAAATCAGGAGTGTATGTTTGATTACTCGTCATAAACGGAAAGTGAAGAGACTGCCTGCCTATCCAGGCTAGCGTGACGAGACTTGGGGCCGGGCCGCAAGCAATGGGAGAATAGTCAGCTGAGCACGGTCAGCTTTGCTGCGTCTCTCGATGGCTTATATCCCGGTAGATTCGATTCAGGGCCTGCTTCTGGAGTAGATGAGCATCATGGCCTTGGCCTGTATTACGTTGATCTTGCTGCACGTCCATGTCTGACGCTTAGGAGAAAAGCCAGAGGCAAAATGAAACCGGCTTCGAGGCATTATAGAAGCAAGGCTCCCTCACTCAAGAGGCATGTTTCAAGATGTAAGCTCATGGTATTCGTTCCCCACTCCACTCATACTCAAAGGTTCTAGAATAGGCTCTGAGGGCGCTTGTCCACGTCTGTGGGATGACTTACATGTTTGTATCTAGTCCCCTATGCTAGCTGGTGCAACCCAGCATCGGGACTGGTCTTGTATTCCATGCAGTCAGCTCCCATAAAGGATGTCCATCCTGCCAACTAGGTCAATAGCGGCCTTCTCAGGCTACGTGGGCATGGCTAGGAGCTGTCCGGCGCGCGCAATCGCGGTCTGGACCCGGGCGAGAAGATCTAGGCACCAATCAACCTAATCTGTATAGACGTGGGGTTGGATCTAGATCTGCCCACGGTCAGCACGGTTCCTTCATGTCTGGGTTTGCCGTGATAACCGGACCAGGCTACCATGCATAAATTGTGTCAAGGTGCGCAGTGAGTCTCGGCCCTTCTTGCATGTTGGGACATCAGCTGCAGAGAACATCGACCTCGACTTGAGGTGTTTACGACTTGCTGTCCGCGGAGGTGTCGTTTATAAAAGCTCAATGGTTTCTCCCCGGCCTTGCTCGAATTCGGGTACAGCGTCATCCAGCTCCTCAGTAATCTTTCAAGAGTTCACGATACAGCCAACCTGTCAAGCCGCACCGACCTCCTGGCCAAAACGCTCCCACCCGACGCAAACATGCAGTTCCCAATCCTCTTAGCCCTCTTCTTTGGCTTCGTCGCAGCCGCCCCTCGAGCCAGCGACCTAGCTGCCCCAGAGAAGGTCAAGATCAGGGGAGTCAGCCTCCTGGGAACCGGATGCCCGGCTGGCACCGCCGACGTTCAGGTCGACGCCACTGGCTCTCTCTTTGAAGCCACCTTTTCGGCGTACGAAGTCGAGACTGGCCCACACACCTTTCCTTCCGACTGGCGCAAAAACTGCAAGTTGACCCTGAATATGGAGTTCAGCTCTGGGTTCCAGTATGTCGCATGTCCGGCTTTCTAGCTCAATTACACATTTATCCTAACTCGAGTTTAGATTCTCCATTGTAGAAACCGACATGATCGGCTTCGCGGAGATTCCCGCCGGCGTCAGGGGCCAGTGTATAAACACCTTCTCCTTTACTGGTAACGGCGCAGAGCACGTCGACTACGCCATCAAATTGGCTGGAAAATACAGCGGTCGTTTTGATTTACAATCGCGCCCTGGTCTCTATTCTTGGTCGCCATGCGGCGGCAGCACGGCAATTTTAAACATGAACACGGCTTGCAACATTAGCCCGACGGATCTGCCTGCCCTCATTGCTGTAAGCTCCGATGTCCCTTGCCCCATTTCCCACAATTTGACACAATGGGACAATGCTAAGGGCTTCTTAGGTTGACCACATCAGCGGCAAGCTGACCGTCAAGTTCGCCGTTGAGTGGAGACGCTGCCCCAAGGTATAAGTGGCATCATCTTGCATTGCCCCTCTTGCTACGTTCCCGCCAGGGCTGAAAGCTTCAGGGCGGCCCCAGTACGTCCTAAATCGAAATTTCGGTTTTGAGCTTTTAGTTTGGGACGAGGTCTGTTCCAGTCTCTATGTTTACCTCGGTGATTGCACATTTACATATCACGTTCTTTTATGCACTGCCATGTCGTCGTTTACTTTGCCGTCATTTTGCTCTTGTTCACCACTCCTACTAACAAAGCGCCATGCGCATTTGATCATCAAAAAGTTGCGCCTCTAGTCCCCGCCGTGCGTCATAATCATTGTTTTCAGGCCCTTCCTTCAGCCACCTAGAAATCTATGAGTAATAACATGTCTAACATTGGCCCCGCCGCCTGTCAATTATGAAAATCGAGCGTCATAACAAGATAGAGAGCCGCGGCGCCAGCCAGGCCCAGCCCCACGCCGAATAGACAATACGACACTGCCTATTACTCTTGCCCGCCCCCGTGCCTGACACGCCCGCCACCGCCCTGAGTCCGTCCCGGCTTGGGCCGGTCGGGCACAGTGTTCAAGCCCTTGGTGCCCCTGAGGCCCATTTTGCCCACCGTGCTCTTGGCAATAGGCGGAATGTCGGGAGTCCCAAGCCCGTCGCGCGCAAACACGTTGCCTTGGCTGACCAGCTCCTCTTTGTCCCATTTGAGGGCCTTGAGGTGGTTCTTGTAGTAGCCAAGCCAAGCCTTGTAAATGTTTGCCTGGTCGTCCTCATCCATGGCCTCGACGACGCTGTACACATCGGCGGCGGAAGAGAGATCGGCGTTGTGTGGAACAAGGGTGATTTTCTTCAAGGTCCACTTTGGGAACCACGCCTCGGCTTCGCAGACGATGAAAATGCCGCGACCTTCGGCGTCAGCGCGAGCCGTGCGGCCGAGGCGATGGATGTAGCTTTGCTCATCCGAGGGGATTCCGACCTGGAAGACGGTGGTGACGCCGGGAAAGTCCATGCCCCGAGCGACAACGTCGGTGGCGACAAGAATGGCAGCTTTGGCCTCGCGGTAGTCGTTAGTGACCTTTGTGCGCTTGGTCTGGGAGATGCGACTATGGAGGGTGGAGACGGGAGGCAGGCTGGGCAGCATCGACAGAATGTGGCCGTAGAGCCCGGCCTGGGCAGCTGTTGGGGCAAAGACGATGGCTTTGAAATCCTGGTGCCTGGCAGCCTCTTCACGGATGCTGCCGACCATGGCCGGGGCGAGGGAGGAGAAGGTGGGGACCGTGACGAGAAACTGTGGGACGCGTTCGTGGGTGTTGACCTCGCCGGCAGGAATGGTCGAGATGAACTTGTAGCCCAGGGACAAGACGAGGCCGGCAACTTGATTGACGTGGGGTGCGATGGTGGCGGAGAAGAGCATACTTTGCCTGTTGACGTGATTCCTGTCGGGCAAATGGCGGACGATATCTCTCAGGGCCGGCATGAAGCCCATGTCGAGCAGGCGATCAGCCTCGTCGAGGACCAGTGTCTCCAAGTGGCGGAAGGCATAGAGGATGTTTGGGTTGGACATGTGGTCGATGAGCCGGCCGGGGGTGGCGATGAGGACATCGCAGCCACCGAGAATCTGCTTCTCCTCCTTGTCCTTATTGGTGCCCCCGATTGCGATGCGGACGCGATATCTAGGCAGTCTTTGGAGCAGATTGGTAGCCTCCTGGGCGATCTGCATGGCGAGCTCGCGCGTGGGCGAGATGACGAGTAGTGAGATGCCGGCGTCGCGTCCGCGGTTCTGGGAGATGATGGTCTGCAGGGCGGGGAGCAGGAAGGCGAGCGTCTTGCCGGTTCCCGTCTTAGCCTGAACAAGACAGTCGATCCGGTTGGGCGGCAGTAGTTCCCACAGAGTGGCGGCCTGGACGGGCATCATGTGGTCAAACTTGAGATCGTCGGTGATGGTGCTGACAATCATGGGGTGGACGAGGTTCTGGCCGGCAAGCTCGGCGAACCGGGGAGTATCGAGCGGGACAGCCTCAGTGCGAGGCGGGCGCGAGTCGGCTGGCGGACGCGCGCGGGCTTCGTGCGGCGGCGTGTCGAAGCCGCGGCTCGGCGGCGACGCCTCATTCGGATTCTTGGGTCCTCGATGGCGTCGCTGGCCGCCGCCACGACGACGGTCGGACCGTCGGCCTTGGGGCTTGTCGCTCATGGGAGCGAAGGGCTGAGGAAGAGCTGCAACGTCGATTTCTCTCGGGCGTGAGGTGGCCGAGATGAGGTGGCGAGTGAGGCTTTTTGGGTGACGCGAGACGAAACTTGGGCAGGAGGTCGCGTGGTGAAATTTTCCCAATTTGGGAATGTCATCTGGCCAATCAGGTGGCCTTTGGCGCTGTGGGGCCACTGGAGCTGGAGACTGCAGGCCAGGCTCCACCAACAAAAGCGCATTAGACAACAGGAATCATCGTCGAGTCAAAGTCGGGCGGGTCCATCTACGCAAAGAACACGCAGCTTACTTTTCTCTTGCTCTTCAACTTTATGTCTGACGGCGCAGCTGTGCCGTGCTCATTCATCCACGCCTGTCTTTTGCATTACGCCGCTAGTTTACAGCTGTAGTAGAACAAGCCCCCCTCGATTGAGTGAAACGAGTATTACTATTTGTACAAAAACATATCGCTATTCGTACAAAGGCTCCATTTATAAGATACGTACCAGCACCAGCCCGCCCCGCCTATTTATACCGCCCGCATGGCAGGTAGCGGTACCGCCCAAACGCCCGCGCCACCGCCCGCCCACACTACACACATAAGACCCTACCTACATTCCACACACACGCATATATATATTAGAGTATTGCTATTTACACACTAGCATATTGCTGTTTGCACACTTTCCCCATTTTTAAGATACGTACTAACGCCAGTCCGCCCCGCCTATTTATGCCGCGCGCGCCTGGCAAGTACCCGTACCGCCCAAATGCCCGCGCCCGCGCCCGCCTATATAAACACACATACTAAATTTGAAGCTATCACCAACGCCGCAATCGATAAACTTAGCCGCAGCCCGCGGTCTCTTATAGCGTTATAATAAGGATCGTTAGCCCGAGGAAATATAAGGGGAAGTGGATTAAGAGGAGGACGCGGCAGGAGGGGCGCGCCGCCGGCTTCGTCAGGACAGCCGGCTTCTTCAGGCGTTAGAGGGATCGTTGAGTGGGATGCAATTGAGGCGCCGCCGCCGCCGCCGCCCACACAGCCGTAAGGGCAAGGAGGAGCCGGATCAATTAACGGGCCGATTATTGCAACTTCTAGCTCAAGGCCCGGAAATGCGTTATTTGAGCGAATTGAGAGGCATGCGTTATATGGCCTTTATTGCCTCTTGTGTGTGTATGTGTGTGTGGGCGGGCGGGGGCGCGGGCGTTTGGGCGGTACCGCTACCTGCCATGCGGGCGCGGTACAAATAGGCGGGGCAGGCTGCTGTTAGTACGTATCTTAAGAATGGGGCCTTTGTACGAATAGCGATGTGTCTTTGTATAAATAGTAATACTCTATTGAAACCCCCACTATGGAAGAAAAAAAATTACACAAGGCATCTTGGCACAAGGCATCTTGGCACAAGGCATCTTGGCCGGCTTGCAGCCTGTGACTTTTAGTTAGGATATCTCGCTAGCCCCGGGACTGTTTCATACGGCTTCATGATCAGGAATGCCGTGTAACTGAACGAACAGTTTTTGTTACTACTCAATGAACAGTACCCGCTACCGTGTTTTTTTTTTTCAATTGTCCTGCTTGATCCACTTACACAACGTCAAATAAACACATAATCTTGTTTCATCCCTGAACCCACGGAGAGAGCCGGCAATGCCGTCTCTAGTTGCTAAGGTCATCGGGAAACATCATCGTTTACCGGAGGATAGCCGCAGCGGAAATTTCAACCAGTAGTACGGTGGGCGATAGGGGTCACTGTTGCAAAACTCCCTGTCATTTTCTTTTGGGTTTAGGCGCCCAGCCCCCTGGTCATCCGTATACTTCAGGTCAGCATGAGAGTATGTACTGCGGACTAGCAGCGGGCCCGCACGGTCATCCTTCTGCCAGTCTAATTGCCAGTTTGCCGCACCAGTCGTAAAATGGTATCCGGCTCGCAAACCACTTACACACGTATGGATGCGCATGATGCTATACCCAAAATTCGTTCCTGAAAAGCTGATCGATATTTTTCCAAGTGAAATCGAGCGAGCGGCGCGGTGTTTTCGCCAAACAACTTTACTTTGGTATTGTCGCGGCCCGAAGACAGCGACAATACCAAAGACAAAGACGGCGAATATCGCCAAGTCCCTCCCTGGATGGCGCTGGGAACTTGTGAAAGCCGGGCCCTACAGACAAAGAATGCAAATACACACGAGAGTTTGAGGTCTTCTGCTATACGGTGCCGAGTTGAAACTTTGGACTTTAATGTTTCCACTTCCTCCTGGCCACCACAGCTGTGTTCAGTTTTCATCCTAACGTTCATAGGAGTAACTGGGACGAGGAGCGGCGCCATGAGGCAGCAGAGGATTACCGCAGTAATCCCGCTACTGGTCAGCACCGGACTAGCGTTGAAGTCTTTGCTAAGCCTGGCGATCTTCATTCGCCATGGCAAGGGATATTGTTCTGTAACTATTCTGCTTATATTAAAATCCCGTTTCCGAGTCCGATCCTATTTGTCCTCCTTTCCCTGGTTCTACCTCTTCTCCTCAACCGAAATGGGCCCTCCACAGATTCCCCCTGGGCATGTCTACTGCGTCCAAGCCGGACAGAAGCACTATGACCTCTTCACTACCATATACGTTGGCGCGAACTATTGCGGCCGTTGCGGCTTGGCCAACCCCTTTCGGCCGCAGCGTCGGGCCAGGTCTAAAACTCCGGCACTTCCTGGCCCATATGATGAGGTGGTCGAGGTCGAGGACTCTCCGCCACGGCCAGTCAGTCCAGCAAGTCAGCTGCTGCGTGACAGACTGAAACCAGTGTCATCCATCGGCGTTGGACACGCCGCCCAACTACTCCCCAATGAAGTTGCTGGTACCGGTGCGATGAATACACGGGCACGCATACCTCCCTTCGAGGCGTCAAGCAATCCCCAGTTCATGACCGTCGCATCAACGGCCAGTCGAGCCATTCAAAACTCCAAAGGCAGCACCAGGAAGCCTGCGAGGCAACGAACTGGCTACCAGTGGGTCCATGTAAGCCTGCTGCTTGTGAGTTTGGAGACCAGGTACTTCAACGGGCTTGCAGTGGAGGTTCCAGAGACGGTGCTGCCTCTGAAGGATACGGTGATCAAGTTTCTCGGCAGATCTACTGACTTGGCCTCGTTCACCGAGACTTTATTCGATCACCTCCGTCCGCTTCCGCCCACGATCGATCCTGCCAATAAAGATCTATCGCACAGGGTGTAGAGCAGCAGCAAGCATGAAGATCAGGAAGTGGAAGAACTCTTGATTTAGCTATCTAGAGGGGAAAAGGAGCAACATCTTTATAGATGACATAAAGGAGTGGCTGGGAGATGCTAGAAGCATCTGATCATATAGTGTAGGTGCCTATAACGTGTGCATAATGTTGATGGTTGGTGTGGCTGTTTGGCATAGTGTAGATGGTAGGGGTTAGCCTGTTGGAGGCTGATATCCTGTGTGTGACAAGATCTCTGGAACATTTCTTACGCTTCGACCTTCTCTGGCAAGAAAATCGTTACCGTTCCAAACACCGACAAGTACACGACACCGTCAAGCATGCTCGCATCGGGGCACTTTTCGAACAACCAAGCAGGGCAGTTGAAGGTGCTAGTCGTTCTGACATCCACGGATGTGGTTGATAAGCAGGAGCCGGTCACACCGTTGAGGCCAGATCAATGCTCGACGCCAGTCAAGGAAGACAAGAAACGGAGGGTCAAGCAAGAAGACATAAGCCCAGCCTCTAGACGCAAGAAGCGCGTCAAGCAAGAGGAGCAAGTCAAGGAAGAGATACGCGTCAAGATTAAGCACGAAGAGCCCGTTTCAACTTCATCCTGCCAGAGCCCGACACGCGACGAGCTTGGATATACTGCCAAAGAAATTGTTGGACATGGGGATGCGGTAGGCCTTGGTGAGCTGGAAGATCCACTATGCGATTTAGTGTTTGGCAGTGACCCTAGTGGAAAGGTGTATAAAGGCGTGGTGGCCGAAGGAGTCGAAGTGGACGAAGAAGATAGAGAGGAGGAGACAAGTTTTGTTCCGGAGTTCGTAAGAAACCGAACCAACTCATCAACGAGCCGAGCGCTAACTTCAACAGGTAAACCCGGAGTCAATTTCCCAAGCCTTCAGGGAAACTCAAACTCGACTGTCCGACACTAACGCTGCTAAAGCGCTTCCTCCAGCTCACTCTACACGCTTCAAGGGTGCAAAGATCCCTACAACGTTTGCTATTCGATATAGGAAAAGGAAGGATTGACTACTCAGGCTCCCCATTCGAACCATCGCTATCCTCCCGTCATCACTTACCGGTATTTTCTCCATGTCGCTTCCTGCACGTCCTCAAACCCAAGCTCAACAAGTGGCTGCTCTGCTGGTTCCCCATCTCCAAATTCACCTTCTCGGGCTTGATTTGCTTGCTCAAGTAATGCTTGCTATACGCGCTTAGATTGGTCAACTCGCAAATAAATAGTATGTCTTACATATTCAGCAACGCCTCCAGTTGGCGCTTTACGGTATGCCAGCGTAGGCTGTCGGCCACTTTCGATATGTTGAATTATCTTATCTCGAAGACCAAGGTAAAAACGCTTGAAAGGTCGCAACTTGTCCGGCTCCTGGTGAGTTCCAAGGACTACGTGATCGTAGCCCATTTCAAGGAGAACTTGGCGGCACCAGTTCTTTGTCTCCGGCTCCAAACTCGTGCTAATGTCAATATCAGCCAACGGCCGCTCCATTTCGTCTAGAATGGAGCGGTCAATCGGGATACCCCAATTGCATGCCTTGTCTGGGTCGGGGTAATGGTAGTTCATCCAGGGCTGGCCGTGGACCACATGGGGACGGTTCTTTTGGAGGCGTATCCGATGAAGATTCCACGCCTCCACGAAGTCGAAGAGTTCTCGGCGTAGTAAGTCTTCGAAGACGGCGTAGATGGAAATCTGATCTTCCAGCATATCGCCGTCGAAGTCCCCGTCCCTGGCGAGTTCTCCAAAGTAGTCTACCTACTGCCGGGACGAGACATGCAGCATGCGCTCCCACCAACTCTCGATCTTAACGTTCTTCGTACTTGGAGCCGCCTTGTACGAATCCTTTAGTCGATTTCCTTGTTGGAAAACTTGCCCATGCCATTCCACTCGCCCGTCTGTTGCCAAGACAAAGTTCCAGTGTGCTGCTGCGACCAATGGCGTTTCGCTCCCTGTCTGCTTGCAAATACCATGGCCGAAAGCCGTAGGCGCCACACGCGGCCAAGTACTGCTTCAATACGCTCAAAGCGGTTGTAGCGGAGTGGCCAATATAAAACCAGATAATGTTGCGCGAGTATGCATCGATTGCTGCATATATCTCGAATCCATACGCCTTGAGCTTGTCGTGACCGTCAATGCACCACTGGTAGTTTGGTCCTGGGACAAGAAACTGTCCCTTCTTCCTCCGAAACATCCTTTTCGGAGTTCGACCTCATTTGGGAACATGATTTTGTACATCGCAAAGAGGGGTCTCGGGACCCAGAGCTGCTTTTGCTGACGAAGATAAGGCTGAGAAGGCTTTTGCCATATCCCGAAATGGCATTGGACCGTCGCGTCATCTCGATGATAACCTGTTCTGTCTTTTCCAGCAACACAAGGCGCTCCTCGTCACTATTGAGCCTGCGTACCCAGCGGCGGTCCGGGTGAAGTCTGATGCGCTTTAGACCTCGTTTCGTGATCGGCCAGCCTTGTCTTTGTAGCACGCTCAGCGTCTGCTTCTCGGTAAGCCCAACGCGAAAGATCAGGTCACGGATGGTTTCTATCAGCTCTGGAGTTTCTTTGGTACGGGCTTGCTGGCGCGGGAGACCCCAGTTTGCGATTCGGCGAGAGAGTGTACTGAGATTGACGGCGACATGGTAATGCTTCCGAAGCTTATACTTAATCTTGCTTCGCGAGACACCGTTGAGGTATAGATGAGTGATATAGTTACGGTATTGATCGATTGGATTGGGCGGACGTGCCATTGTTGCCGGTAACGTCGAAGGGATGGTGATTTTCTTGGTCCTCATGCCAGGAAAAAGGGGGACAGCGATATAAATTGACTTACCGCGTTTTCCCGCAGCGGTGGTGCCGCTGGCCCGCAGCGGCTTAGTGCCAGGGGGCTGTTCGTGGAACGGTTACCAAACCAGGAACAGATCGACGCTGCTCACCCGCAAATATTTACAGAACCCAGATCCCTTCCAACCCTAGTTCCTACCTTTCCTTCTGTATCATCATTGCCGTGGAAAGCCAATGGTCAGCAGCGTTGTCATGTCCACAGCAGATCCCGCTATCGTAAGTGAAACTGCAGTCGCTGGCCCGATGGATGGGGACTCGCCCAGCAGGAATAAAATAGTCAAGGGTAGAGGATTGGTCCGACTCAACGCCCGCAAATCCACGGCCAAGATTACCGTACAATCCAATAAGTTCTTCTATGAAGAAGAGGCGGCTGCTAACTTGCTCGCCCGAGCAGAAGAAGAAGCAGACAAAAAGGCCCTCCCGTCGGCTCGGTGCGAGACTTCCCATGCCGTCCTTGCGTCACACGCGCCACCAAGACTCCCGGCCATGAATGTGCCTCCCAGGACAGTACGTTGATTGTCCCCTGTAGTATATGTCTGCCTCACTAATTTGCCGGGATAGATACCGGTGCTGCGTGCTGGGACTGCGCAAAGAACGCTCACACGTGCAGGCCAGTATGAGACCTTTGTTTGCTCCAAAGAAGCGAGAAATTAATCGAGTTGAATGTTCTAGGTCCCTGCTGGGGCTGTTGCTGCCGTGCGTGCCTTTGGGACGTGAATCGGCATCTCAAGCTTGCAGATGCCGAACCCGATGACACCTGGCGCATCGCTGCGCAGCGAGCAGCACAACAGCTACGTGCTTGCGGTGGTAGTGCGGCTCCTTCTACCGCTTCAGGACCAGCTCCCGCTTTGGCCCCCGAAGAGCGGAAGCTTATGGCGTTAGAAACCATCGCTGAGGCTGCTCGGCTCTGGATTGTGAGCGAACTGAAGTTGTGAGTTGCATTTTGGCTGCTAACTGGATATATAGCAGCTTAACAAGCCGGAGGATGAGGACGAGGAGAATGTATAGATAGAATAAGGGAACACATTAAAGCGTTGGAATTACCGTGCGGTATTTTCGCCATAGGCGACTGATATGTTTGTGACGAGAGACGCGCTGCTGGTCCGCAGCGGCCCCGTAGCTGTGACTACACCTGCCGTAACGCCAAATTTTCCAACGAAGTTGGGCCGAGATACATAGACCAATGTACCGTGGGGCGGGCCGTTCATGCCGCTAACCCATTTTGACTCTCGCGCGGTGACTTTTTGGGTTTTGCAACAGTGACCCCTATAGCCTGCCGTACAGTAGCGCTGATCTAAGACTCTATAGTCAATTCAGGCTCTAGATACCGCATTCCGACATGCTCTACGTCCAGATTCGTTCTGTATCCAGTTGTACTTTTGCTAGGCAGATCGTTGGCAATTTTCGAATGCTTGTCGAAGCCTCACAGGTTAAGCTTAAAGCCTTACGTAGTGTCCATGAAATGCCTTAAACGCTCAAACTCATCGCAAGACCTTCTACCTGGCATAGCAATCTGGATTTTCGCGTCATTTCCAAGTTCCACCCTACATGCTAAGTCGAGACTTGTCTTGGGGCCGGCTTAGCTGATTCGTGGGATTGCCAAATCGGAGACGCCTGCAGGGGTGTTTTCGACTCCTACTTGGGTTTTCAGCTTCCAACGATGTTGTTCTGGGCTTGAAAGCTCCTACCATGCGTTACAGTCCGAGTGAAATTTCATTAGTCAAGTCCAAGGGCTATATCCTCTTCGGGCTAGGGCAAGTGCATCTACGACACGCGTTATGCACCTCTTCCTGTTGTTGATTGCCAATCCTTCGAAACTGAGTAAGTCTGAGTAAGACAGTGCCCAAGGCCTACGGCTTGGAATAAAAGCAACCTGGATCCCTCTTTGCAATCACCTCTCGTGTTGATCCTTACACTCTTTCGTCTCTACCAATGCACGCGCAGACGTCGACTCGGAAGCAGACTTGAAAACACCTTATCCCAATGCGAGATGGCATCTCCACGGAATGAATGGGAGAAACGCATCTCGGAGCTCATCGTTGAGTCTAAGAAGCACGAGACCGCATACCTCGAGCGCATTGGGAGCTTCGCCGTATACATCCATCCCACCGTATACTCCCCAAAGTACTTCCCCGAAACTCTTTGGTACGGTGAGAGTCTCCCCTCAATCGTCCAGGGAAAATCGTTTCTTGAAGTCGGCGTTGGCTCGGGGCTCGTGTCCCTCCACCTCGCCGCATCCGGCTCCACCGTCGTAGGTGTCGACATCAACCCTTACGCCGTCGAGACGACTCGAATGAATTTTAAGGCCAACAGCCAAGCCGGCTCATTCTTCGTGAGCGACATTTTTGGAAACGTCTCTGGAACGTTTGACTTTATCTTCTGGAATCACCCATGGCAGATTGACGCGAGTATTCCGCAGGAGTTAAAGTCTGAAAAGACATTTGACGAGGACTACCGGCTCCTAAAGCGATTCATAGCTCAGGCCAAAAATTATCTCACCGAAGACGGATCAATTCTGCTAGGAACGAGTTCCTACGCTGACTTGGAGGCCATGGTGGCCATCTACGCCGCCAATGGATACGCTCACGAGATTGTTCGCCAAGGCCAGCGATCCATCGGAAAGGGCGTGATAGAAGAGTATTACATCGTTCAAGTCCGACAGTGCTAGTTCACAGAAGAGCACCTTGTCCGTTTCCGTGTAGTGTCGTTGATTTAAGTTGTTGAAAGCTACAAGTGCAGAGCGCGGCTCCTAGCAGCTGCGCAGGGACTGTGCGTGGAACCTAGCAGAGCGAACAGGCAAGGCACAATAGAAGAAACCAAACGGACACATACATTGCCCGTTTTCTCGTCCGCTGTGGGGGTATTCGTTTCATCTTAACGTAAGTTCTTACGCTTCATCGACGCTTTCTCCAGGCAACTTAACGGTGGCCCTCGTCCGACAAAACACAAGCCTGACCATACTGTCCCATTTTCCAAGGCCCCTTCAGCCGCCCTTTGGCTTGGGAGCATATTCTAGGTCTCTATACAGAATTGGGCTGGGAGATTGCTTGCAATACCTGAGGGCAGTCCCCTTGTACTTTGCGCTGCAGTTACTTGGGTCTGTACATCCCACTATATAATAAGAAATAGTTTATAGCCCTCGAGGGCCTGGACTACATGCACTCACAAGGCCATGTTATACACACAGGTGTGTAGAGGTCCCTTTTATGAAGTCGGGAGAAAAGAAAATGTGCCTAGCAGCAGATGGGTATCTGTGGGTACTTATCAAAACAGGCCACGCTCGAGATTCAATGCACAATGGCAATCATCGTCGTGTCGTGGAAATATTTCTGCATCACCTGCTGAAAAGCCGCGTCGGGCTGCGTCACACATGCCTTCACATCTCGACCCGGTGACACGACACCGCCACCGACGAATATTGCCAGTGGCCGAGCAAAGGTCAATGAAGGGTTCCCCTTCTCGTCCAAAAACCTAGAAAATCGATCTCAAATACCAACAGTGTTCACGCCACTGCAATGAGAATTTCCTGCTTAGCAAATACTCTCCCGGGACACAGCCCCTTGCCACACCCATACGAAAATGATTGGTCTGCGACACTTGAGGCAAAAGCAGGCTTCCCCGTTTCTGGATCCTCGCGCACATGTCTTGCTTCACAGAATTCGTTAGCAGGCGGGTGAAAGGTTTCGCCATCACGGTGGATCGGCCAGGCTGGGTACATGAGGATAACCTTGACCGGAACCACTTGTTCTGTCTCGCTGATGGGCGCTGTCACTTCTTCGTCTTGCTGCCTCAGAAGAATAATGTCGGTGTAAAGGCATAATACCTCGAGGTAAATACTTTGAAACAGTGACAAAGTCATCAATCTGGGAGCATTTATCTTCCCATCGTCCGATTGCACCAAAGTAAGTTCTTCATGACGCTGGGAGAGAGAGCCCCGCCGTCGTAAGGAGCCAATATGTGCATGAGCATCCATAAAAGTGCTGGTATCGCATTTGTAAAAAGTGCGAAGAGGAGACCAAACTCCATGGCCACCACTCCACGAGGCGAAAGGTCATGCTTCTGGCTCTAGAAGCGTTGTACTCGCACGATGCTGCTGCCTAGAAGTGCATCCCAACATGCTATACCAAAGATTAGTGGCTCCTTGTCAGGACGAGAAGCGAATTGAGAATACCAGCGGCCCAACCCATCTAGATCATTTTTCTGAGCTTGGTAGGCCTCAGTGATCATGATTCGCAGCACCCCGGCGTAAAGAAGAGTGAGCCCACTTTCGACGGCGGCCAATTCGTCCGATTCTGGACATGTTTCTACCAGAATTTCGCCGAAGAGCGCTGTCGTGAAAGCGTTGAAAACGCGATCGCGAGTCCACCTGCTTAAGCCGACTTCACCGGATTGGGTTCCTTGCTCCTCGAACTCATTTTGTATTCAATGCAAAATCGTCTAGCCAGTTCGTCAGCGCACTCTGGGTGGAGGATATAGCTCCGTTCCGAGCGCTTGAATTCCCGAAAAGCAGGGTTGAAGCTCGCGCTGTCTCTGGAATCAAGACCAAATATTCTTTGCGGGCATTGTATCCAGATGTCGACGATACGGCCGCCGCCATTCTCGCGCTGATCAGACATGATCCCGAAGCGACCAGGTCCACTGAAGACCCCCGGGCCGGCATATGGATCTGCGGAACGCAAAATAAGGACGGCGGATGGGGGCATATGACCGAGACAACGGCAAGCTGTGGTTGAACAAGATACCATTCAGCGACGTGAATGCGCTGTGCGATCCTTCTGTAGCCGACATGAGCGGGCGAGTCGTTGAGGCATTTGAACTCATGCTGAGGGCATCCAGAATGCTCCCATTGACGTGCTACTCTCAGAGCGCATCTCAACAGCGAGCGAGTGGAGCCGCTACGCACTACTTGGCAAACACTGATGGTTCGGTCGGTGGGGCTCCAATTACATCTATGGGACTCTCAAACGGGTGTTTTGAGAGCGCATGGGGAAGTGATCAGGGGCAATAAATTGATATGACAAATGTGCATACCCTCCTTCGAGCTATGTAAGACCCAAGGGGGTATTTATACGTATAGATACCCCTTCCAGACCCTGATATAGCTGCTAATATAGCCCTACCCCGATGATCTAGATGTCCTGATACCAGATTGCAACTTCCCTTGGCTTCAATGCGTAGTGATGGGCTATCCTTGTGTTGATGTGTGTGTGTGGCTTCTTGGGCCCTGCTTACACAGGCATCCCTTACCTAATTGACGGTTGTTGCCCAACAGGGACATTGGGACGAGTAATGTCTTGTGCGGTCTCCAGTACTTTGCAGACGGAAATGACCGAGTCCTCGAGATGATAGCATCTGCCACGAGCTGGCTGAAACAGGTTCAGAGCGCAGACGGCGGCCGGGGTGAGGACCTTGAATCTTCTCGGCATATATCCGTGGCTGGACATGGGCCATCCAAGCCTTCGCAGACTGCGTGGGGTCCCATGGGAATCTTGACCATTTGCGTTCCCGGGGACAAAGTGGTGACGTCTGCTGTGCTGCATTTGACTAGGACCCAGATGACGGACACTGGAAGCACTGGAAGCGGTGGTTGGAAGGAGACAAGGCCACCGCAGCTCGGTTTCCAAACGTCCTCTACCTCAGGTATTCACTTTACCACCATTATTTTCCCTTGATGACTCTGGGCAGATACCTCGACCATTAAGAACAACCAATTTTAGAAAGTTTTAAAATTTACGACTTCCATCTTGGGTCTGATTGCGTTTGAAGCACAAAAACTACATTGTCCATTCAACATGATTGCATGACGCATAAGATAGGAACACGCATTGAGACCCCATCACCTGCGAACCCATCCTACGTCCCGCTGTCAACGAATGCACTAAAAATTTTCAATGAAAGGCTATGCGGGCATTGCGCCACCCTTGTTTACGTGGATTGCGACAGCTAGATCCCAGTGTGAATGCCACATCACAACTTGCTTCATAATTGGTCAAGGAAACGGCTTGATATGCACCGATACTCACGCTCGACTCCCACTCAAACTGGCCACTTTTTTCAGAGGTTCTTGAGCGAGTTGAAAACAGTCTCAATTCCCGACTGGGCCGCGGCGTTGCCGTCGATTTCACTTCTCGCGCCTTGGACGAGGTTAACCACATCCCGCGTGATGAGGATGTTGAAATTAAAGTTATGTACGATCGACTTGGCTGCACCGGCGACGATGGTTCCAAAGGGCATGTCCTTGGAGGCATCAGGAACAGGAACGACGCGCACGACTTCTTTCGAGACGTATAGCGATCTCTTTGTTCTGCTCAATAGGGTTGTTGATGTTGAGAAGAAAGACATGTACGTCAATTGCCGCGCGCATCTCGGAGCACGTTCCACCTTTGCCTGCGTGATGCAGCGGTCTTCGCGACTGTTGAAGCCTCGAGGAATGGCCTTTTTGAATCGATGGTGTTACTTTATTTCTCAGGCTTTTCGTGGCCCTCCTGAACGGATGTTCAAGTCGATCTTGCACTGCACGGACAGTTAGGACGTTGGCGTAGGATATGTAGAGCCGGGGCCCTACGTGCCGATTTGACGACGTCCGGCACGCCGTTGAGGACATCGATGAGAATGCCGAGTTTAACCAACTCGTCTCTTTAGTTGAGAGTGGTCATCTCTAAGATACTGGAAGCAATGTTTCTGTATTCCACCTCACCCTACAGACTGAGTATCAGCACCGAAGAAGAGACTTGACTCATTGGAACAACTTGCCGAGCGAGCCACGTGCCGGCCATTATGGCCACTTTTGGAGGCCGTCGTATCGCGGAGACCAAGTTCCGAGTAGCAGTCGAAAACTTCATGTCGGAATCAGAAGGTGCGCAGCGTCGCCATAAGACAATGCGAAGTAGTGCCTTGAAAGGGTGTAAGAAGAGAAATGCCAGGAGCTTATTCCGGAGTGTAAGAGTTTCAATTGCATGAATCATGGCAGATGTCATGGATCGACGGGCGAGATGCTAGGATAATGAATGAGGGGCGTACCTTCGTTTCAGAATGCCAAAACTGCGTGGTGGTGTTCGCGCACTGTCTCAGAAATGGATATAGTTGGCATCTTGCCCCTACCCTGGTTTTACTACTGTTGTTGTCTTGGCTATGACAGGATCTCCCCGCCGAATCCCACGAGGCGATGATACTGCACCTTACTTGATTCGTTCAATTTATTTGGCTCTAACTTTGGGTCAAGCCATTAGCCAAATAAGCAACTTTGAAGATCAATCCCTTTACCAAGACTATCCATGCACAATCTCTCCAATGCCTCGGCCGAGAATGTCCAAGCATGTCCGAGCAAAGGATACCACGCATCCAGACGCTTTAGATGACGTCTACGAGTAAAGGACCCCTGCTGTATAAAGAGTCCAGGTCGCGCCAGAGGTGTCGTAGTGCATTTTCAGGGTCTCGCTCTGGGCCGAAGAGCTTAACGGGGGGCGGCTGTAACAGCACCGTTCTCTCCCGCTGTCGGGCCCAGCTCCGCCTGCCCCTTTGCTCGGACATGCTCAACGATTGGCTCTCACGCTTGCAAAGTCCAGTGATATTCTTCCACGCATAAAAGAACACATCCACGTGCTATAAAAATGCTGTTGGAATCACTGCAAGTGGACCGTTCTTTCGCCACCCCCTCAAGGGCCACTT